CCTGAGTAGCTAGGATCACAGGCATACGCCACCACGTCCAGCTAATTTTTGTATTTTTAATAGAGCCGGGGTTTCACCATGTTCGCCAGGATGGTCTCGATCTCCTGACCTTGTGATCTGCCTGCTTCAGTCTCCCAAAGTGCTAGGATTACAGGTGTGAGTTACAGCACCCGGCCATAAAATTTTTTTGATAAAATTTTTCGAGCATTCAGAAGAATATGAAGACTGGTACAATGAACACCCACTACCTAGATCCAACAATGTTGGAGAGTTCATGTGTAACTCTCCAGTGTCATCTAAGGCACAGGCTTCACTTTGACCAGTTAGCCTCAAGAATCCTTTACAGTTTTTCTTTTTTGCCAAACCAGCCTCTCACATGGAGAAACACACACTACATTTGATTGTTATATCTCTTAAGTCTTTTTCACAATCAAGAACATTTTCCCCATCACCTTCCCTGGTTTTTGGGAATAATATGTAAGTCTCTTATATTGTTTCATATTTAAGAGACGGGGCCAGTTGTCTTACAGAGTGTCCCAGAGTCTAGATTTGTGTGATTGTTTCCTTTGCATGTTCTTTAACTTGTTTCTGTAGTCTCTGAACTTTCTGTAAAGTAGAAGTTAGATCTAAATGTTAATAAATGTAACTTTTTTTTTTTTTTTTTTTTTTTTTTAGACGGAGTCTCGCTCTGTCGCCCAGGCTGGAGTGCAGCGGCCGGATCTCAGCTCACTGCAAGCTCCGCCTCCCGGGTTCCCGCCATTCTCCTGCCTCAGCCTCCCGAGTAGCTGGGACTACAGGCGCCCGCCACCTCGCCCGGCTAGTTTTTTGTATTTTTTTTTAGTGGAGACGGGGTTTCACCATATTAGCCAGGATGGTCTCGATCTCCCGACCTCGTGATCTGCCCGTCTCGGCCTCCCAAAGTGCTGGGATTACAGGCTTGAGCCACCGTGCCCGGCCAATAAATGTAACTTTTTTAGAAACAGCCTGGGTGCCGTGGCTCACACTTGTAATCCCAGCACTTTGGGAGGCCGAGGCAAGTGGATCACCCGAGGCCAGGAGTTCGAGACCAGCCTGGCCAACGTGGTGAAACCCTGTCCCTACTAAAAATATAAAAACTAGCCGGGCGTGGTGGTGGGTGCCTGTAATCCCAGCTAGTTGGGAGGCTGAGCCAGGAGAATTGCTTGAACCCAGGAGACAGAGTTTGCAGTGAGCTGAAATGGTGCCACTGCACTCCAGCCTCAGTGACAGAGTGAAACTCCGTCTCAAAAAAAAAAAAGAAAGAATATGTCATGAACCTCATATTACATCATATTAAGAGGTACATACTGTTATTAGGGCTCATGCTGGCCTTCAACTCATAAAGCTTTTCTTGTTACAGTATCCCTTTAGTTGCTAATTGGGTGTGTGTATGTTCAGGGTTTGGGGGTGTATTTTGGCATAAAGTTAATTCAGGGTTGTAATTCTGGGCTTCTTCCTAATAAGATGGTATTGTTTCCCAGACTCATTGAGGACAAGCACAGATGAATGAAGGACAGCCCCTGTGCTCAGGGATGGGACAGCACATACATGCACACACATACAGAGCCCTGAAGCGCTGTTGTGTAGACAAGGATAATGCATTCAACAATGTTCAGCAGTGACTGACTGAGGCTAACCCAATTCCCAACCCCCAGCCTCCAAACTCACAGGAAATTGCAACCTGGGAAGTTCCCCAGACCCTGTCCTCTGTTGCCTGAGTCCACTACACTTAGGGCCTGCCGTGCAGGAAGGCTGAAAGCTCAGAGAGTTAAAAAAAAAATAAATTAAAAGGCAATGAAATAATGTTTGACTGTTCCTTGCACATCAGACATAGGACTTGGCTCCTGCTGTCCCAATGTTTACATTAAGAAAAATAGGTTCACATTGCACACCAGGCAGGCGTGTATGCATGCTGTTGTTAAGTCCAAGCAAAAACTCAAGTTGCTGTCAACTCACTAGGCTATATGGAACCAGATTAGCACGAGCCAAGATTTTCTTACTCCGTGGTCAGCAGGAAAGCCAGAAGCAACGGAATTCTATCAGCACAGACCTGGGACTTGCTCCTGTGCCCGCACAGAAGCCCCATTTCACGGCATTCTTTCAACACTCAACCACCATGCAGGGTTTATGTACCAATCACTCGGTAAAGTCTGTGTGATTGGTCTGATCCCTGAAGGCCTAATCAAGATTGATTTTAGAAACGTAGCCTTGCCTGGAATTGCTAAAAGAAAATATACTAGAAAAGGGAAGCCAGCGCTATTTGTACAATTATCATGACAAGTAAACAGGAGCATTCCTGCAATTCCTTGATCCTGCTGCACTCCGTCTGGAAGTGGTCAGCGATTCCCGGTGCACATCCCTGTGACGTGCCGCCTCTCAATAGACGTTTCCCTGGCACAGCCCTGGACGCTCTCTGAAGAAAATGAGATTGATGCAAGGGGCTCTGATCCATGGCAATGACCTACATACTGGTTTTGCTCCTGATGGATGGTGCTGATTGCTTTCTGCACGTATCTTTCATCATTAGCAGGCCCCAGCTCCCCTTCTCCAGATAAGGAAGTAAAAAACAACACACTGAGTAGAGAAAGCTGAAGAGGCACAATTCAGCCAAGCATCACAGACACAAAAAAGCCAGCACAAAGTGATAACATGAAAACAACGCATTTGAAACCCAGCAATGTGGATGGCAAGTCTTGATCACTGTTGCACGTGTCTCCTCCACCCATCAGAGACACCAGCCACATTTCGTCTGAGAACCCATCTCTTGCTTAACATTCCTTCGGGGAAGTATCTTTCAGATACTTTTCTATTGCCAGGTGGTGAAATAAATGGCTCCTTGGTAAATCAAGGCATATAGCAACTCTATAAAATCTTTATTATAATATTCATCTTCCTACTTCTGGTGAAAGACCAAAATAAAGCCCCAAGTTGTTTGACAAAATGCCATGCAGCTCTGAAAACTATAGCCTGAGTTGACAGTAGAACACGTGATATATATTTTTATTTCTCAAGAACTTGCCTTTAAAAGTTATGTGACTGTTCGTGCTTATCCCTCCTGGGAAAATAGCTCATGACGACCAGGAGGGAGAAGCCCCGTGCATTACGACTTCCATTCTCTCTACGGTCATCAAAAATGAATTTCCCCTGGCAAACGGTTTATTTTGCAAATGAGTTTAAGTGATTCATAGGCTGCTGAAAAATAGCATCTTGAAATTTATTCTTAAACATGCTGCTTTATAAACTTAGTTCACACATATGGTGTTTCCCAGGCAAACATTCAAAGACACAGGGATCTAGAAGCCCGTGGTGAGGATGAAACTGGGAGGCCAGAACAGAGCAGCTCTCTGTAATCTACTGGGAAGTAAGACCACACGTGGCCTCCCCAGGACAGCCAGGCTCAGGCAGGTTGTGCTGTTATGATATATATACATATGTTTTCATCCGCAGTTCCTGACTCATAACCCCCATAGCCCCGTTACAGAATTGTCTTATACTGTTGGGTGTGTGGGGCCTCAGGAAACAGAATCTCTCTGACCTCTTCCTACCTTCCTTTCAACTGCACCAAGGCAGGACTCTAATCTTCCCAGCCTTTCTGATTGTGGGTTAAAAGACCCTCCCCAGAGAGGACCCAGCCCTATACCTGGGGGGAAGGAATGCTGGTGTCATGAAGCTTCCATAAAAACCCAAGAGGACTGGGTTTGGAGCACTTCTGAATAGTGGAACACGTGGAGGTTCCTGGAGGGTGGCATCCGGGGAGGGCATGAAAGCTCTGTGCCCTTCCCCCAAACCTCCCCCTACACATCTCTTCATCTGTATCCTTTGCAATATTCTTCATAATAAATAGCAAAAGCAAGTGTTTCCCAAATTAGTCAAACCCAAAGAGGGGGTCCATGGGAACCCCAAGATTTGTGACTGGTGTCTGGCAGGGAGCAGTCTTGGGGACGGAGCCCTCAATCTGTGGGATCTGACGCTTTCTCTGGGTAGAAAGTGTCGGAATGGAATTGGAGGACACACTGCTGGTGTCCGCTGCTTGATGTGTGGGAAATCGCCCTAGCATTGGGTCACATAAGTCTTCTGTATGGATGATTAGTGTTGTGGTGGTGTCAGAGCAGAGAAGAAACAAGTTTGAGAGCTTTTCCAAAACACAGGTGCATACAAGATAACTGATCTAGAACTCAAAGGGGATGAAATCAGAGGAAAGGCAAAGGAAGGGACCACTCCTCCCTTTCCCCCCCCATCCTCTTTACCCTAAGTCTCAAAACAAAAAGGATCATTTTTGTTGCTTTGTGTTTTGTAGGAAAACCCTCAAATTATTTTGAAAGGTTCACAGAGCAAGAGTCACATGTCACCTGAAGCACACCCAGAATGCTAGTATCTTGAGGGTGTGCAGATGGCAGGATTCGGAAACGGAAGGAAGCTCGGTAACTCCAGGCACAGGGTCAGGCACTTGGAGACAGGAATGCAGCGACTAAAAAGCTAGCCTGGGGCTGCACTCCGAAGTCTGGGCAGGAAAGTGTCTAGAGAGAAAAGGGAGTGCCCTGCTGGACAGAAGTCGACCGCGAATCTGCCACGGTAGGAGCCCAGCGTCTCTCAGCTAGCAGGCTTCCTTGGTCTTCTGAGAGTCAGTGTGGCCGTGTGGAAAAACAATTTGTCTGTACCCGGAAGACCTGTGTTCTAGTCCTAAGTAAGTCACTTAACCTCGGTGTGGATCTCATTTTCTTCCCCTGTAAAATCTGCCTCACAGGGCTCTGGTAAGTCCTCTACAGATAAATCATCTTTACTGCACCCAACCCAGGAATACAAGAAAGTGGAAGCAAGTCAGAGAAATCCCCAAGTTTTAGAACTTAAAGAAACTGAGCGTTCCACTAAGTGATGAGAGAGAGAGGTGGGGCTAACCCGCACATCTCATCACAGAGCAGCGCTCTTTCTATGGCGGCAATGAATGGAAGCCCAGTGGCAGGGCAGGGGCGGCCCAAGCCTACCTCTTTCCCAAGTCGATTTCCCTCTTCCTTTGTCACCCTGCTGCTGTAAAGGGCCTGAAGTGTAGGTGGTGGCAGTGAACGGTTCTCTCTCCATGGCTGTGAATGCTGGAAGGAACAGAGAATAGTGATGCATTATTTAGAGCAATAAAAACAACATAACAATAGCCAACTTCTACTGGGCATTTGCTATATTCTGTGCACTAAGCTAAGTGTTCTACATGCATCATTTACTTCAGATGCCTCCTAACAACCTCATGAGACGGATACTAACATTGCTTCAATTTGTACAGGTAAAGAAGCAGTGTTGGGGAGCTGCTTGCTCCAAATGACACCGTATATCCCTAAGGAAGCCGTGATGCTGCCTCCGGAGCCTGAGCTTGTTCCCGGTGTCTCTTCAGTAGGAAAGTGCCTGTGCAGGAGAGGATGGGGCTGTACCCCCAACCCCAAACCTCCATGAAGAAGAGAGCATGATGGGCTGTCAGCCTGCAAGATGGATTTGGGGAAGAGTGGGAACTGTTTTCACCATTTCTCTCCGTTCCTCAGCCACACACTGTTCCAGCCCCAAACCTACAGAAAAGTGAGAAGAAATGGGACATCCAAATAGAATAGGAAGGGACTGAGATCTGGAAGGGGACAGAAGGATGTCATTGTCATCTTTAGGCATGAGAAAAGACCTTACCCAGCTCCCTAGGAAGCCCTCTCCTCTCTTCCCAGTAAGGAGAGAACAGCAAGAAATGCCCTCAGGTTGCAGACTTAGGAAACTGATGGGGAAGAGAGCATTTTGTGATGCAGCTGTTGACCACTGGAAGCTGCTGGAAAGGAAGCTACACTTCCTCTGAGCACCCTGGCAGGAGAGGACATTTTTGCATGCCAGTGTGTCTCTGTTCATTGCAACACTGAAAAATTTTAAATCAAAAATGAGATTTCCAGAAATGTGCTTTCCTAAATTCTTCACACGGGTGTCCTATTAATATGGAAATGAGGAAAGAATTTAATCATGTTTGACTGTTTGCTGGAAAGAAAGCAAACATGCTGATGTGCTAAGTATCCTCAGATTTGTTAAATAGGGTCAGGATTACAGGGCTGATAGGGGACTGATGGATTTCTTGCTGCTCATTATCCCTATTGAATGGTTGGAATGCATTCAACACTGAGCGAGGCAGGTCAGGGTGGGGCCCCCTGTGCTCCTGCACCTGGTGCAGAGCTCCTGGGAAGTGTGGGCCTTGGCAGTGACCTGGAAGGTTGCCCTCTCACAGGGGGTCCCCACGTGCCCAACACCTGAGCCCGGCCCACTCACTGCAGGGTGGGTGCATGGCTCCGAGCAGATCGAAGGCAGGATCAAATAAGGGTTCTTCTCTCTCTCATATATATAGAATTAATTACTTTTTACAAAGCATTTCTGCATGCACTGTCTCAGTTAATCCTACTAAGACTCCAATGAGAAAGGAAAGATAGATATTTTTATCTGCCCAATGTATAGATCAATAAATAAGGCCTAGAGAGGTGAAGGAATTTGTCCAGTGTTGCTCAGCTCATGGGAACAGATAGAACCCAGGACCCAGCCCGCTGCCTGCCCCTGCCAGTGAGTCCGCTACATGCCTGCTCCCATCTCCAGCCTCCACATCCCACGTTGGCTCCCGTCTCAATCAGACTCACTTGGAAACACATCTGGGGCTCATCCTGCTGCCAGCCACAGGGGAGGTAGCAACCTCAGTGTTGTCAACTGAAGAATGATGAGGTTTGTACATTTGGAAAGGAGAGCTTATTTTTCACAAAAGGTTGCAGCCTCCAGGGTTGCACAGCCTCCTGTCAGAAGCCAGAAATACGCACTTTGAGGGTGGGAAGAATAAGATGGGGATTTATGCTGAATGAGGTGGCCAGCTATGCATATTCAATGAGCTATAGGAGGAGTCATGAATATTTATGAAAGGAGAAACATATGCATGCAAAATTGAGCTTCATGCCTCTCCATGGGACCCATGTTCTTGATCTCTTCAATAGAGAAAGACATACTGTGTGGCCATCATCTAGCCAGCCCTGGGAAGACCACAGTGATCAAGAAAGAAAAGTTCCTATCTTCATAGAGTTTATAGTGAGGGCTGTGCTCCTCACACTTTAATGTGTGTGTGTGAATCACCCAGGGATTCTGTTAGAAGCAGATTCTGATTCAGTAGTTCTGGGCTTGAGCCTGAGATGCTGCAGTTCTAACAGGTGATGGCAGTGCTGCTGGTCTCTGGACCACACTTTGAGTGGCAAGGCCCCAAGGCTGGATGGAAGAAATTGTTGACAGAGCATGACAATAGGATATGATAGTCCTAAGGCTGGGAGTTTATAGAATGATCTAAGGGCACAGAGCAGGAGTACCCACTGCAGAAAGGAGAAGTCAGATAAGGCTTCCTGTGGGGGAAAGGAAGGCTATTTCCAAAGCTGGAGTAGAAACTAGGCATGCCAATGTCATGAGTGGAAAAGATGGTCCATGCCAAGTCATGAGATCTGTGTGCAAAGTCCTATGAGCAAAAATGAAAGCACAAAGCTTGCTAGCTTGTGAGAGTTTCTTCTGACTTGAGAAGATACCAAGGGAGAGCAGAGAGGGATTCCCAGGACCCAGAGGCATGGTCAAGGAGCTGCATTTGCATTTGTAGTTCAGGGCAATGGGGAGGCATTGAAAGGTCTGAAGCAGGACACTGACTGGTAAGGTTTGCTCTTTTCAAAGCTCACTCAGGCTGCCATGAGGAGAATGGATTGGAGGGGGGGCTCGAATTAGAGGGGCTCGAATTGGGAGGCTGTGTTCCAGTAACACAGGTGAGGGTGTGGATGGCTTGAACCGGGGCTGTGGCCATAGGGTGGGTGAGAAATTGGCAGATTAAAGATATGTGATGTGGGAGGTGCCCTCAGTTTGATCACTGACTGGACAAGTGTGTGTCTTCTGTGCTGGGTGCCATGGTGGAGGACGTGCTCCCCACTACGCTCCTTCCTCTGTAGTTCGTAAGACCAGGTGTTTATATTTTCCCCCCCTTTTGTTAAATATGACTAAGCTTTTGTTTATCCAGCAATAGTATTCATCATATTTTCTGAAACATGTGGAGGTTTTTTCCTACCTGTCTTCTTACCTGTTCTCCCCACCTGTTCTCTTAGGAACTGAAGCCCCAACCCCCTGCCACTGCCCATAACTTGCTTCTAGACTCTCTTCATGTTTTCCACTTATCCATCCCAACTTCTTTCCATCCTGAACTGCTAGGTCTCAGCCATTACAGGGAAAGTACATTCTACCATTGACTGGTTGGGCCAGGACACTGGAATGTGTCCAATAAGAGCTCTGCTGGGATTCGACGCATTCGATTCCTAAGCAATGAGGTCTGTTTTTTGAACTTTTATTTTATATATTTTGGAGAGATGGGGTCTTACTATGTGGCCCAGGCTGGTCTCAAACTTCTTCCCTCAAGTGATTCTCCTACTTCAGTGTCCCAAACTGCTGATTTCAGGCAGAAGCCACCAGGCCCAGCCTAGGAGGTATATTTTAAGCCAAGTCAACCTCTTAATTGGATATGAGCTTTATTTGCAGTCATTTATGAAGAGCACACTTGTTGCACTGAGGGTAAACATCTCTCTGAACTATTATTTGAGGCCCACTTTTATCCGCTAATAAATTTATTAAAAGGTAAGAAAATTGGGTCTGCCTATGAGCATCACACTGTTAATCAGATTTTTTTATATAAATGAATGTCCTGAGATCGTTACTGAAATTGAGAAGGACCAGCTGAGACCAAGAACAGCCATTCAGCTTTCCAAGGTATGGAATGTAGGTGCAGGGACTGAAGAATCACATAAAAACATGATCAGAAATCTCAAGAGCACAAAAAAAAGCCCGTTGTAGGGACATCCACCATTACGACCCTGCATTTCCCGCATATGTGTTAGCATTTGGAAACATGGATGATGACCCCAGAAATACAGACGTAAGATTTCAGAAACCTGTGGAAGACCTGCAGATTTGCATTCTTCCTGGAGGCCTAAGGCAATTACTTCAACCTTCAGTTCAAGACACACTTCTTGTCAAGAGCACATCCTTAGCAAAGAAGTCTGTTTATTATCTACTCAAAATTGGTCTCCAACTATTGGGTGCTGATGAAAGATAATCTGTTTTTATATCTTACCCAAACTTCAGCCTTCTCCTTCTATTCCAGCGTTGGAATAATAAGCCACTTGTGATATTAAAAAATAGGCTTTGCCCACATGCAAACCAGAAGATAAAAGGATTTGGATTTAAAAACACTCTCTCTGATTTTTTTGTTTGCAAGTAGCATTTCTGCTTGGAACCATAACACTTTGAGCTCATCAGCTGGAGGAGAAATTACTATTGTGGATGAAAGGGGAAATAACTGGCAGCCATAGCACTAGAGTTTTCACAACACAATCCCTGCATCAAAGAAAGTGGGCTTTCTTTTTCTGGAAGATCATAGGTGTAGAGCTGTAAGAAAGGACCTTGAAGCAGATACAGTTTGTTTTAACTTCATCTCTCTTCAACCCCAGCGTAGCTTGTAAAGGGCTCTGGGGCCCTCCTAGAAAGCATGGCATATACTAACTATTCTTAGACTCTAATGCTCACCTTCTCTTCTTCGCTGGGGTTTGGTCTTGTGGCTCTGAGTGTCACCCTCATTTTATTATTTATTTATTTATAATAAATAAATAAATGCATAAGTAAGTGACAGGGTCTCACTCTGTCATTAGGTTGGAGTGCAGTGGCGTGATCATGGCTCACTGCAGCCTCAAACTCCTCGCTCAATCGATCCTCCCACCTTAGCCTTCTGAGTGGTGCACAGGCATGCACCACTATGCCAGGCTAATTTTTAAATTTTTTGTAGAGACAGGGGCTTGCTATGTTGTTCAAGCTGGTCTTGAACTCTTGGCTTCAAGTGCTTCTCCTGCCTTGGCCTCCCAAACCACTGGGATTACAGACTTGAGCCACTGTGCCTGGCCACCCTCATTTTGAATTGCAATTGAAAACTCACCTCTTTGAAGTAGCTTTTTAAAAAAAAATTCTGACAAACTTTTGTACTGTCCAAGTAGACACTGTAAGCTCTGCCTTTCATTCTCCCCTCCTCCTTAACACACTCACCATCACGTGCATTGATGGTGCATGTGGAAAGGGATTCTTACCAGGAGTTAACCTTAGCAATTTTTACATCATGACAACTTCATGAAAAAAGTTTAGTTAGCGTGGGACTGTTCTAGGAATAAAAGCCATGGGTAGAATTTAATAGTAACTATTATTATTTAACATGCAGTTGATATATACCTTTGAAATTCAAGCTCATTCTCTTTTACTTACAAGTAATAATGATAGAATTAAACTAAGCTAATAAGCTAAATAAATAATCAACAGTAGATTGACCCTAATTAATAAATTTGCTAAAAGCTTTTTCCTGTTAATGAGCCCTTAACCAAAGATGAGTCTTAAGATACACATTTTTAGAATATAGATACGGATATAAGTTTTAGAATATAAATTTCAGGTATGTTGAAAATATGTGTGGAAATATCAAAGATCCAACTCAACAAATGCATATCACTCACTGTGTACTCGTTCCTGATGGGTACAAAGATGCTCTTAAGGTTTGTATCACCTGGAGAAGATGACTTGAAGATATGTCTACATGAAGAGTGAACAGGAGATAGAAAAGCTGAAAATACAAAGCAGATCAAGTAAACTGTTGGAGAAGGCAGTGGAGAACAAAGTTTGGGAAGAGAGGTTGACCTAGAGCTGAAAAGAAAACAGCCTTTTGTCTGAAAATGAAAGAAAGGAATGAAATTTGGGTTGCAATAAAAATAGATGTGTAGTTGAAATTCTTTATGCTCTATTGCTTTCATTTTCCTGATAAGATAGGAGGCATGCAGTTTGCTAAGGGTGAGAACACGGAAGAGGGTGAGGGATGCTTGAGGAAAGTGGAAAAATATTAAAATGCTAGCTGACAAAACAGAAGGAAATTGTTTCTCTGCACTAAAGGTCCAGCCAAGGCAGGAGAGCAAGAACCTTTAGTGTTGCCAACCAGCAGGTTGAGGAACCTTCTCTAGTAGGGCTAGCAGCCTGGTACTAGATGATTTATAGAATGGATACTTTATTTGTAGGTTTGTTGGACAGATGCAAAAGAAGACGTCCTCCAGAAAGCACAGAGCAGTATTGGGACAGAGATGAACCAAGGACTTATTCACACTCATAAGCCATGCTCAGCTCCATGTTGTGTTAGAAGGAAAGAGAGGGCTCAGGGAGACCAACAGGAGAACAGCAGCACTAGCAGCCTGTCTCCAGAAGAGCAGGTGTTGTGGTGATGAGGCTGTGAGAATGGGGAATTAGAGGTGAAGAGTTCTAAATTAGAGCAGTTCTTGGCAATGGTAGGTTCCTTGGTGTAAGTCTGGGCATATGTGACAAGAATAACATAGAGGTAGAAGTCTCTAGATTTGAGACTCTCAAGGAACTGTGAGGTGAGGTTGTATGATGGACTATGAGGATACAGAAGTCCTTGGTGATGCTAGCAGAACAAGGTACAGGAAAAGTCTGTGATGGAGCTCCTAACAAATAGGACATGGAGTGACCTGGAGACTGGCAGACAGAAGTAACAAGGAAAGATAGCGGGTGATTGTAGCAACTGACTGGTAGGACAGAATCTGTCTGGAAAATCCTCCATCTTAGGAGGTGGAGACTTCCTTTCATTATGAAATTGGGATCGTTTTCTCAGACTCCCTGGCAGGTGCATACAGATATGTGACTAGGCTCTGCCAATCAGACGTGCCTCCCTCAAATTGCAGCAGGAAGCTCAACCTTGTACCCATTGTGCAGGAGCCACTCTGGAAAGGGACAGCTGCCAAATCCACATGCCCAATTACCACCTGCAGAGGCACTGGCATGGACGGCAGCCTCCAGGAGTGCCTGGTGCTGAGTGGGCTGTGGGCTTTCAGCAGACAGGGTCTGCAGATTGGTTTGGGGCATTGTTTCTGGTTGCATAGCCTGGGAAGCTGGTTCTTCAGTGACGCCTCTCACCCCATCCCATTGCGCCATCCCCATGATTCTGTGGCTCTCCAGCATTTTTGAATACATTCATTTTCAGCCTACATCAGCCAGCCAGTTTCTGTTGTTTACATCCAAGGGAATCTTGACTGACACTGTGATAGAGCCAGATTGATAGCCTCTCAAAGGAAGAAGGGTTTTCACACAGGGGTGCAAGAAGAATGACTTAGAAGAGGATTTGGGAGGTGAGGCATGCTGCCCATACCTGACCCTCATCCTTGTAGATCCTCTCTGTCCTCTCGTCCCAGTACTGCTTTGTGCTTCCTGGAGGATGTCACCTTCCCTATCATCCTCTGAGGCAGAGAATTCATACTGCCACCCTAGAGTTTCCATCAGAAGGGTAGGACTTACTTTCAGGTGCTGAGCAGGTCTAGGTGGTGGTGCCTGGGGTCCATAGGTTAGTAAGTCCCACATCAAGTCTGGCATTGTATCCAGAGGGTGTCCTGTATGGTCATGGCAGCAGTTCCTCTCCAGGTGCTGTACTGCAGAGGGTGTGGTTGTTCTTCTCTACAAATCCAACTGGGCACCTAGAGAGAAATCCCAAAATTTAGTTGGTCAACCTGGTTCAGGAATTCTTACGTACAAGAACTGAAGGGATCCCTGAACTGGGGACTTGAAATAGATAATAAAGGCCTTAAAATAGATAATAAAGAACTTGCACTTGGACTTGAACTCCCAGTGAAGAGTGAAGAAATGGGTCTTACTGAATCATGCATTACTTAATCAGAATTATAAGATAGAAATAATGTGTAAACATAGTATTTTAAGTACCAGTGTGTTTCTGGTATGAACGGTCTTAGCCATGGGTGATCAGAGAATATCCTAGTGTGGGTTCCATTCAAATCTTTTTTCCGTTAAGTCATATGTAGTGAGTTCTTTTTTGCATTCTATTGGGTCCATGCCCATTAAAATCAAGCAATATTTATTATATGCCCATTATCTGGTAGGCACTTTGCTAAGTACTGGGATACCACACTGAAGGCAGCACAGTTTTCTTGAAAGGAGCTTACAATCTATCTAAGGAGACAGGCAATTACATTATGCAGAGACATGCAGGCTCGTGGAACTGTGAGGGTGCACAAGTTGCATGGGTGCAGGTCAGCCTGGCCGTTTCTCTGTATCATCATAATACGTTATGAAGAGAGTGATCAGCTGACTCTTATGAAATGGTTCAAAATCCATGTTAATACTATTTCTATTGTCCTCTTAATTTCATCCCCTGTTTGCTATTTCACAAGTGTATGCTGGAACCCAGAGCCCCTGAAATTGCAGTTCAATTCTGTCCCAATGCAAAATACTCCATGGATGTTCTCTGCAAATGCCTCCTTCAAAATGCATCCTGGGAACACCTCTGTGACTCACTGGGGAGGGTTTTATAGTCCTTGCCGGATGTACGTTTGAGAAGAACTTCTCTAGCTATGGCTGCTCTGAAGCTATTTCCCCATCCTGGGGGACAATTTCTCATGTCCCACCAGCTACCCACTGGATTTCTTTACTTAAGGCAAAATGCTGCCTTGCCAGATGTTTGCTGTTTCTCTGGTTTATCTCTATGATATATGGGTTCCAAAAGTATCTGAAAACTGAAGCTTTTATAATTTTTATGTGTTTTCCCTTGACAGTGTTTCCCTCTGCCCACTCATTAAATAAAAGCATTGTCCCCAATTTAATCTTTTCTTCTCTGCACTCTCCCTCTGCTCCCTGTTCCTTGGTAATGTCCTGCACATAGGCTCATTGAGATCACTTACTGTAATGGTTCTCAACTTCCTTTTGCTATTCTCAGTGAGATCCTTTCTGCAAAGCAGGTCTTGTAGAGTCCAATATATCAACCAAAGACAATGCTTCTGTGCTTGAAATGGGGATCAGGGCCCACGCCTTGCCTGTTGCCTCTTCCCACACCCACACAGAGTCCCTAAGGCACCCAGTGACACCCTGAACGGGGCTTCTCAAAGTAGGTTGGTGTCAGACTCTCCCACAGGCTTGTTAGCAGACATAGCTTCTGCGTTCCATGCCCCCGCCTGCAACCCACTGAATGAAACTCTCAGGTGGGAGCCTGGGAATCTTCATTTTACCAAGATCCTCCACTGAGTCTCATATTCATAAAATTTCAGAACCACTGCCCATTACTCCAAGAGCATAATTTAAAAACTGCTCTTTTGGGATAACCCCATTATTTTACAGAGATATTCTTTGAGTTCCAGAAGGATGGAGCCAGACCTCCCAAACAGAGTACAGCTTTCTTTTCACCTCCATGTAAAAAGGTGCTGAGTCTATGTTAGACTCCCAGTGACCAGTTCTAGCTGCCTACAGGAGCTACCATCAGCATTTCAAGCTGCCGGGTCGGACTGACTCTGCATTCTGTTCCTGCTATCTCCGCCATCCCAGGATCACAGTGGCTTCTGGAGGTCCCAAGCCTAGCCTTCGGATCTCAGGTCGTGTTTCCAACCAATGACTCTAGGTGACCCCCAGCTGCTCTGTGGTTTCCCCGTCAAAGTCCATCACTTGTCATGGTCACCGTGTTGAAATGGACTCGTCTTTACAGAGCCTGCTATACACCACATCCCTTCAGAAAGACCCGCTGTGCTCACAGCTGCACTGACACCTCCACTCTCTGTCCTTAACAGACTCAATGCTGTACACATTGGTGGTTTCCAGGCTTGGGAGAACATTAGCACCACTGGAGAAGGTGTCCTTTTTGAAACACCCACGTAGACCTACCCAGAGATTCTGCTTTAATGGGCCTGGGATGGGCACTTGGCATGCGCATTTTTAGAAAGCTTTTGCCACTGCCCTCTTCCTCCCCCTTCAGGGACTCTGACATAAAACAAAGGTTGAGAACCATTGCTCTAATTTGAATAGAGTTAATTAGGGGCACGTCTGTCTCCCTGGCAAGACTGTAAGATTTGCCCTGTTCACTTTCCTATGGCATTTCCTTCTTCCTTCCTTTTTGTAATTACTGAAGGTTTACTGAGCCCCTACAGCATGCTAAGACACTATGCTGGGCTCACTGTCTTGCACAGAGATGGAAAAATCTATACAGATACATTATTATTGTCATCATTTATCCCTCTTGGACTGTAATCTCCTGAAAGATCTATGCCTCGCTTTAACATATAACCCTATATTCTGAAGGAGGGGCAGTGTGCAGTGCAAAGTATACCTACTTTGGTGTCTGACTGGCCGACCTGTGTTCATATTCAAGATCTGACATTTCCTAGCTACACGGTTGAGCAGGTAACTTAATCTCTCTCTGAACCTCAATTTCCTTAGCCATTAAAAATATTATCTATCTGTGGGATTGCTGTGAGAATTGCAGATGGATGAGGAGCCGGCAAGGGGCTGCCAGTGACTGCCCAATCAATGCGGAGCTTTCTCTTTCCACTTGCAGAGAGCAGTCAGACTTGCTGGGCACATCCCAGGCTGCCCAGATCTTACCAGAGAAAACAGGAGGGAGCGGCTTCTCTCTGCATGTGGGACAAAGCCAAGCAGAAAGGATACTTGGTAATTTACCAGTGATTTTTTAAAAAGTCAAATGACAAAATGTTTGCATGTTTAACCATACTGCAGTTTTAAGACTTCCAGAAAAGGTTAGGTGGTGATGTTGTTCAAAACAATGGAAAGGATGGCAACAATCTTTGAAGAAAATAATATTTGAAATAAAAGAGTTGCCTTAATTTGCAAAAATCCATATAGGCTGGGAAGGGAGAGAGCAGTCCTGGCTCAGCTAGTAACCAGCTGTGTAGCTTTGGAATGCTCTGAACTGCATTTTACTTGTTGGTTAAATCTTTAAAAATATAAAGCCAAATAAAAATGTTAGCCATTTTAAATCAATTTTCTGAGAGTGTAAAGCAAATGAGACTTAAAAAACAAACACACACAGGTCTAAATACTGCTATTTGACTGCTAATACATGACACCAACATTTCTTTCTTGATACTTGTTCCATGATTCTCCCTCTAGGTATGAGTAGGAACAAATCTATATTCTGGATTGGGTGTCATGAAGCCCTGAATCTAGGTTAAAGAGTGTTGCAAAAGCCTAATCTTTCTTACACCTAAACCGAACTCGAGAATTGCATATCGACTTCCAAGATGAAGACCTTTATGTTTTAAATGGTTTCTGGCATACTGATGTCATTTGACTTCCACAGAAAATGTTATTTTTTATCATTGTTATTCGTATTGTGTTCAGTTAGGTGCTTATAAAGGTGGTTCATTGTTTAAGAACTATGCTAAGCGTGACTTGGGTGTTATTTTACACCTTTATCTCCATTTATGGTTCCTTTCTTTACCAGTGCATTTAAACTGCAGAGTAATATTGTCCCACCTTTTGTAAGAGAAGTAAAAATACTTTGCACACCTGCACAATTTTATAACAGAAAAACCTGAAACTCCATGTTTTAAAAGTACCCATCTTGTATTTTATCCCAAAGCCATTAAGATTGTTTATTTCTTACCTTCCCTAAGCCGAAATGCAAAGTCATCGTTCTGATTCACAAACCCCTGTCAGTTTGGCTTTATAAAGGCAACAACAGGGTGTGTTATGCAGGCAAGACAATCTCTGCAAATTACTTGAGGCTTCACATCTAAGACCTAAACTCCCTAGAGACTGGCGGTTCTTCCTCGAGATGGCCATGCCACTTACTGCTTCCTGACGTGGCTGAAATCAAGAGAGTAACACGATGATCACTATTTTCCAGTCAGAAATTTAAAACCAGACAGTGACAAATCAATTCTCAAGGCATACATTTCCATTTGTGAAAGTGAAAAAAATAATCCTGAGAATCCCCCATTGCTAGCCTTGAAAGTTAAGACACACTAACAAATCTCTCAGTGTCAGGGATTTTAAAAATCTCTCTTAGACTATTTTTCAAATGGAAACTGGTGGCAAACTGGATGACATTTCCACTGGGTATGGTGAGACCTCCGAACAAGAGAAGGGCGGTGCTGAGACCAGGGTTTACCAAGAGTCCTGAATAGCTGTATTAGAATAGCCATGGATCAATGTGAAACTTAATACTTTAATGACTGAGCTTCTCTTGAGCTCTTGTTTTTAATTCTCTGGTCTCAAGAGAATCATTTTCTTCTCTCAATCTAATCTTACTGGGAGGAGGAGACAGCCAGGGTATAACTGTGACTCAGGAAAAGCTGAGAAAGAGTTTCCAGTGGGTGAGGACAATGTCTCACTCCTGGGACAGGCAGCAGAGGGTTAAGCAAGTGGCCAAGCCCTCTAATTCAGAAACATAGACTTCTCCCCACCTGTATAACCTGGGCTGAGTTACTTAACTGCTGGAAATCTCTGTTTCCTCCTCTATTTCCTGCCCCCAAAAGGTTAGTATCACACAAAGCATTTAGTGCAGGGCTTGGTACATAGTGAGCACCTACTAATTACTGGGAATTTTAATGATTTTATCTTCTTGGTGTTTAACAGCTTGCATCATGACTATCAGGGGGTTTGGTACATTTTGGGTGAATAAATGACATATGATGGCACTCTGAATTGGTCACTGCTGGAACTAGCTAGGGAATTCGTCATCATTGTCACAAGTTTTTGATACATGGAGGTAACCTGTGTGCGCAAGCATCTTCTCTGCAGTGCCACAGCATTCATCCAGGATGTGCCTATGAGAAGTATGGAGGCCCTGACCTTGAAAGATCCAGGACCCCCAAAAAGAAATGAAATTGCCCCAATAAAATTTATCGGTATTCAGAAACCCTAGAGAAATGACCACTATTTTCTCTTCCAAAAGCGTTGCAGAATGTGCACTCTCATATGCTCCCCAACAGCGCAAAGCTCTTCCAGTTGAGTCTGAGCAGTTAATGTGTATCTGCATAGCCACAGAGAAATCGGCAGCAGACGATGTGTTTCTTTGGCCCTTCTCCTCTCAACCTTCTGGCGAGAGGTAAATTTGGGGAAATTGAGGCAGTTTAACATCTTTCAAAGGATAATTTGAGCTAAGAAGGAAATAGAATTCCATATGTGCCCAGGAACTGTAGCATTGCGTAGAAATATGCCACACATGTAATATTCCCAATCTGAAATCCTGAAATCATACCAGAACCTATCTAGGATATGAACAACAGAAAATTATTAAAAATCTGCTATATGTCAGGCGTGGAGGTACAAGACAAAACACAGTCTCTACCTGAAAGGGTGCAGAATCAAGAGGAGGACAGATTTGTAAACAGACAAGTACAATAAAAACCTACTATGCCAGAGGCGGAAGAGTAGGGGATGAGCAAAAAATTGAGGCAGGGATCACAGGAAACTGGAAACCCCATCTGCCAGATGGGAAGTGAAGATGGGCTTACTTTAGGGCAGGAGCCAGGACGGGCATCAGCATCAGGTTCAGTGGCTTTCTGCCTCTGACCAAGGCTAAGTGCACATAAGGGCTGCTCGTGTTTGGCTCTGGAGCAGCCATGAGTGGAATTCATCCACTTTCCTTCTTAGGAAACGGAGGGTCTTTGCATGTCAGGGGTGATTCAGAGGAGCACCTTTATTCTCAACATCTACTTTCACTGGAAGAACGTTTTACTTTCGGTATTCTTTACTGTCATCCACTCATTAATTCATTCAAAGATATTTGTTGAGTATCCACTGCATGCCAGGCTCTATGCCAGGTGCTAGGATACAAAACTGAACTGCTTCCAGGAGCTCAGAGTCCATGGCGGGGTGACAGGCCCGGGAGCAGAGCATGGTGACACAATGATGCTGGTGCAGTCGGCGGGGGTGGGAGGGGGAGGCTGGAAAGGCTCTATGGGACATAAGGGGAACTGGTCCCAGCCTGCAGAGGTCAGACAAGTCCCCTGCAGCAGGAGAACTTGTGAGGACTAAAGATGTTCTGCAGGACAGGAAAGTGTCTTTCAAAAGTATCATGCCATAGACAGGAAACACTGCCAGACGCCGTACCCAAGATATTCTTCTAGCTTTACCCAACACGTCCTTCTTACAGCATAAGAGATTGGGAGGATAAAGGAAAGAGTCTCTAGGTTTCATCCCTCCTCAGTGCCTTTCCCCTTAAGATAACGGTCAGGGAGTTTCCAGGGATCCACACACGTTACTTACTGTGAGACTTCACAGTATATAAACCTGTGACTGGAACTCAGTCTATAAACCTGAGACTGGAACTTAGGCCTTTGGACACCTTCCAATCCACTTGGAAATAAGCTAGGAAATGGCCAAGGAGGAAAAGGTCCCAGCATCAAGGGTAGCAGGATGGAATTTCTTTTGATCTCAGAGCTCTGCAGAAAGGAAAGGGCTAAAAAAGTTATTATATTATGATGGGAAAGCAAATGTGTTTTGTTTGAACACAATTTAGGGGGCAGGTGTTTTCATTTACGTTTCTAATTCAAACAGTGAATAGAACCCTCTTCTAATGATAACATACCTCCTGGTGTGTTTTGAGGACCAGCTCCTTGGAATTCCCAGCGGAAATGAGATAGGGATAATTGAGCTGCCCAGCAGGTTTGGGTAAAATTCCCTAAAGAACTTGCATGCTTTGCTCATTCTTACTGTTGAGCTGCTGTTGACTAGGCTGTGGAACTCAGTTAATGGGTCTCCTTTGAACTGCACTTGTTTCTTCAGGTTATTAGTGGGGTGGAAACTTCTTTCATGCAGACTTCCAGGTGTGAGATGAGCTGGAGAGGGGATGGTGGGGGAATGGGGAGATGAGATTTGAGGAGACAGGGAGCTTTCAGGTAGCTTAAGGTCATTTTCCACTGATCAAGAAGCAGAAAGCTTCCTAGGGCTTAAAGACATTCGCCTTCGGGGTGACTCAGGTACCCCAGAGTCAGAGAAGTAACTGGCTTGAGCAGAGAGGAGAGTGGCTTGTTGGGGGCTATACCAAAACCCCAGCTCTTTCCTGGGACTGGTTGTGAGAGCAATAAAGCAGACGTGTTAGATGAAGGCACATCACAGTCCCATGGTTCCAGGAAGCGGTTTAATGTAATTACACTGTTAAAGGAAAAAAAAAAAGTTACAGCCAACTGCAGTCAAGAAAAGTCAGAATTTACAACCTGTGTTCTCACATACACACACAATCAACACCTCCCATTAACTGTCTACCATAAATTTCCTGCGGATTCACTTCTAATCATCTGAAAGTGCAGTCACGCTGACCTCTATTCTTTCATAAAAAGATGGCTGTCAGGTAACTCATTGGATGGCATCAGCAGAGAAGCCTTGAGCTGACTGGTCACTCGTGATTTCTTTCTGCAATAGGTTGGTAATGGTGGGAGTCCAGTTAGATCTGATAGTGGGATCAGGGTATACCTGAGCTCTCAGCTCTGTGTACCTTTCCAGTCTGGCTCATGGAGACAGTCGTGAGTATGACAGTTCTGGCAGCCACCAGCCTCTGCTCAACATCAGCCCAGTGATACAAGCCTTGGAGCTCTTTGTTGAATTCAGAATTAACCAGGAGAGCCATGTAGCAAGCAATGAATTTGACTAGGACAAAATTCGAAGCTGATTCAGAATGGCACCATAGTATTAATCAACTATAATTGTCATGCTGTCTGAATTAGACAGAGTGGGTTTTAATAGCCTAGATGCAGTGAATCTCTGGATTATTACAGTCAATGATTCTGTGGAATAACAAAAAAAATTCCAATTAATGGACCAAGTTAATGTGAATCTGAGACACAATTAGGTATTTTCTTCTTACAAAGACAAAGCCAAGTGGAGATTTAAAGCTATTAATCACTTCCACAGAACCCCAAATCCATAAAAATGACTTCATGGAAAGCTGAGCTGAAGGCTTCGTTCTGTGACCTTTGATGAGAAGCAAAGTCACTCTCCTCCCTGCCTGTTCAGTTCAGTTCCCGCTGCAGACCATGACATCAGCCAGTTGTCTGAGAGATGGGCACAGCTATTCATGCTTCATTGATGTGTGATGGGGCAGGTTTTCCAGCATCTTCATCATTCTCAGGCTATATCAGAAACTCCCCTGGTGACCCATTCCCAACACTCAGGTTAACACAGATATAATGAATAACCCCTAGATCCTGAATCTATACCATCACCCCCATTCCTTTTAAACATGGCCCCATTATCTGTTGGGTTATAAAAGCAAGGGAAACCAGTGGCAGGTGTTGGAAATATGACTTTGATAGATCTGTCTCTGGATCTGAAAAGTCCGTTTACATCTCTCAAGCATAGGAGAAAGTGATTTTGTCCACCCAACTCATGATTTCACACGTCCACTTTCATTAACAGGAAAGAGAAAATACGACTTATTGTTACTTAGTTATCTAGGGTCTATTTTCCACAGTGCTCAATGTACTGCACACTGGGAAGTTAGTGCTTAAAATGTCAGGATGTATTAAACCTGTTAGGTCACAGGATACTAATTCAGATGATCATTGCTGTGCCAATGTCCCCTGCCCAAACACTGACCATAGGTATGTATGAGGCCATGTTTAGATGGAATAGGAGCAATGGTGTATACTCCCATCAAGTCCAGCTACCATTTCTCCTCTTAGAACCACATCTGACTTCTCGCTTCTATGTCATGAGCTACCCAATCACAATTACAATAGAGCAGTTGCAATATTGTAATCTTCAGTTTTTCTTAGTTGTGCTTTTTATTTCACAAAAATTTGACTTTGTTTATTCTCTGACACTGTTTTCCAGATTTAGACTTCTTTTGGGGAACTGAATTTCCCAGACGACTGGATTATGCAAGTGTTATTGTAGATTATTAATTACCATAGTATTGGCGGTGAACCAAGTTGACAAGCATGATGACATTAAAAATCAATTCTCAGATACATTTGATGATTGACAAACCAAATCATTGATAAGAAACTATTATAATTATTTTGAATAATTGCTGTTATAATCCAATAATTTCATATTGTGTTAGTTATCTATTTTTGCATAACAGTATTGCCACGACTTTAGCAGCTTAAAACAATACACATTGATTATTTCACAGTTTCTGTGAGTCAGAAATCTGGATACAGCTTAGCTGTGTCATCTGCTCCAGGGTCTGTCGTGAGGCTATAACCAAGGTGTTGGGCAGGGCTAGAGTCTCACCTGAAACTTGACTGAGGAAGAATCTGCTTCACTTCTGTTTCTTGTGAGCTGTGGGTCTGAGGGATTCAGTTCCTTGCTGGCTGTTGACTAGAGGTCATCCTTAATTATTTGTCTTGTGGATCCCTTCATACAGCAGCTTACACTCAACAAGAAAGATAGAGAGTTAATGGAGAGGGTCTACTAGCAAGATGGAAGACATAATCTTATGTGACATAATAATGACAGTGACATCATATCATCTTTGTCATAATTTACTGTTTACAAGCAACTTACAAGTTCCACCTACACTCACAGAGAAGGGATCATACAATAGTATGAATACTAGCAAGGGAGGATAATCAGAGAGCTGTCCTAGATCTGTCCCCATGAAAATATCCAGAAATGACAAAATATTTTATCTCTTTAGGAAAACCCCCTTTAAAAGTTTAGGTCTACACATGAAGGAAAAGGATTAGTTAAAAAAAAAAAAAAAAGAAAAAAGTTTAGGTCTAAACCATAAAGAAGGGAAAAAGCATATTCGTTGCAGGAGCTCAAAATATATATTTTTAAAAAATTTAAGCTGGGAGACATAGACTCAAGTTGCCCTGAATAGATACTCCCTAGAACATAATTTTTCTCTAAGAGTAAGAAAGTAATAACTATACATGACTTATTCATCAGATGGAAGGGAAAGAAAAGAAATTAAGTAGTTATTCTTTGTAAAAAAAAAAAAAAATAAGGTCAAAGCAAGCCAGAATAATTCAATGCAACACATATTTATTGAGTATCTCTACAACTTGTACTCTACTGTGTGCTATGGAGAGTGAACAGATTGTGGGAACACAAAGGAAGAGAAAAGTAAATGATATGTATTATTTTCCCCTCAAGTTGCTTGTAACAATAACAAGTATTTATGTTGATTTCATACTATTCCAGAGAGAAATCTTTACCAACTTTACATGTGTCAGATAATTTAACCTTCAAAACAATCCCATGAAGCAGGTGTTATTCTTGCCATGGTGATGGGAAAACTAATGGGCAGAGAGGTTAGTGACTTGCCCAAGGGCACAAAGCCAAGAAATTAGGCAGTGTGGGTCCAAAGTTCTTGCTCTGCACCAAGAGTCAGCAAACTACAACCTGTAGGTCAAATCTGGCCAACTGCCGTGTATGTAAATAAAGTTGTATTGGAACACAACCTTTCCTATTTGATTCCATATTGTCTATGGCTGATTTTACAATACAATTGCAGAATTGAGAAATTACCACTAGGGCCTGAAATGTCTAAAATCTTTACAATTTGGGCATTTACAGAAAAAGATTTCCAACCCTTACTATAAACTATTACAGCATAGTACCTCTTTGGAGGCCAACAGACATATTATATACCCAGAATTCTAAAGTGCAAGGTGAAGTAAGAACTACATATGCAAAGAGGTATAAAGAAAATGGGAGAATGTTACTGTGTCTTTCCTGGACACAATGGTGGTGAATGAGTGTGGGAAGCAGGGAAAGGGTGGGAGGTTTAAACTTCTCTGGATACAAAGTTGGTGTAATTTACTAAACAGTGGACGCAAGAGCAGCCTAAGTAAAGAGTAAAGATAGCTAGCTAGATTCAGCAGTTGGAGGGTAAAAGAACAGTTGGGATAAAAGATTTCTATCCTGTACTTACTACAAGTAACTATAATATTATGTTTTGATACAAATAAAGTAATAACATATAATTAAATATCTTGAGTTTAAATAGCCAATTTCATCTTTAAATTTCAACAGTCATATTGACAGTAGTTTCTGTCAACAGAATTAGGCAAGTGGCAGGTAGAGATCATGTGATATCTGAGACTCCAGGGTGCTGTACGAATATGAAACAGTCATTGTGAGTTCTAAGAAGCCTCAGAGGACATCACAGAGAAGCTGACTACTTAAGCACGTGAGTCATCATGACATCCATCTGCACCTCCTTTGTTCAATTTCTTTAACTCTTGCTCCCGCATAGACATTTTGTATTTATTCATCACTTAGATAATTCATACCAAGGGGTTCAGCAAGGGAAGAGTCTTCTTCAAAGCATTTAGCACTGGATGAATATTCGCTTTGATCTCCTGTTTCTTTAGTCATTTGCTAATGATAAGAACCGGATGGCAATGCGGAAATTCGGTCCTGTCTGGCACCACAGTTCCCTGGTGGGTGTGACTGGTCCCAAACAGAAATAACCACTCACCTGTGGGTATTTCTTGAAAATGCAACTTATTTCTCTGATAGTAAACATAACATTGAGATAAAGCTGAAAATGAAAAGTCTAATAAAATAGAAGTTATTTTACCCTTCTTCTCTAAGTCTTCAGAAATAGCTGAGATTTTCATAGGTAGTGCGTGGCACGGCACAGGTTTATCCAAAAGATTGAGAGGGGCCCAGCACAGTGGCTCACACCTATAATCCCAACACTTTGGGACGCTGAGGCGGGCGGATCACTTGAGGACAGGAGTTGGAGACCATCCTGGCCAACATGGTGACACCCCGTCTCTACTAAAAATACAAAAATTAGCAGGGTGTGGCGGTGCACACCTGTGATCCTTGCTATTCAGGAGGTGGAGGCAGAAGAATCACTTGAACCTGGGAGGCGGAGGTTGCAGTGAGCTGAGATCACACCACTGCTCTCCAGCTTGGGTGACAGAACGAGACTCCATCTTAAAAAAAAAAAAAAAGATTGACAGGATTCCATGACTCTGATGTTCCCCTTGGTGATCATGACTGTAAAGTTTCACTGCTCGCTGAATTGTCATTACACAATGCCTGCCTTTTCAGTCTATTTTGCACTTACATTCATCTAGGTTTAATTCTAATTTTATGTTTTTGGCACAGTAGAGGTAAGTCAATTGGGGTTACAGGTACTTGAGTTCAATTGAAGATCAGAGCCTCATTTGCAAAATGAAAAATAAGTCTCTTGTGCATTTGCTGCTACAGGCATTTTAAAAGAGGCTCTTCGGCTTGTCCCATGCCCCCAGCTTTGTCTCAGCCACACTCCCTTCCATTCTTGGACATACTTCTATTCTTTAAATATCATCCCATTTCCAAAGAGAAGTTCCGATTATGTCTCAAAGCTCCAGACACAATTATTGTATAAGTGCTGTGATCTCACCTACCTTTCAGTTCTTCAGGGTTTCTGTCCATTTCATTTTAAAACGAGGGAAGGATGAAGTTTACTCCCCCCCCAAAAAACTGAGTTGATTTCTTATTAGAGTCATGATTTTGGAGAACTTGATGAAGGCAGGAATGAGGAGAGTGAATGACCAACCCATCCAGTAGAACACCCATTTTCTTTTAAAAATGGCATGTTAATGGTCTGTAGAAGGCATTAAATACAGAACTTCTCCACTAGAAACAGAAGGCTGGATTTTCTTCTTATTTGCATTTATCTCTCTCTTGTGTAGATAAAGCCTAACTGTAATAATAAGAAAACTCGTGCAAGTATAAAAGATATCGGGGAAAATCATGAAACATCAGAAGATGACTCCAAGGGCTGGGCATGGGTGAAAAGGGAATTAAGGCCCACAGATGAGCAGGCAGCTGCGGACTAATCTGGAGACTCACTCTCTCGGACACGGTGCTTTTTAGTCTCAGGGTACTGCCTCAGCTCATAGAGCCCTGGTTTTCCCAAGAATAAAATTAGAGTCATCATATTTTCTGTTTAACTCCCAGACCTTACCAAAATATGTAAGCAAGAAAACTCCCTTTAGTTCTTCTACCAAAAGCATAAGACACCTATGTATTACGATATTTCAAAGTATTGATCCCTTTCCCATAGGCACCTTTATGTGGACGTTTCCCTGTGAGAGGATCACACATCTCGGTCCTATTGATATCATGTTCCTTGCTTTGACCAATGAAATGGAAGCAGAAATGAGGTATGCTCCTTCTGAGCAGAGCAAGAACCCTCTCATCCTTGGCCATGCTCTCATTCTCTCAGTGAAGAGACAAGCAATGTTGGAATGGGGACACTTACAACAGCCTGGGTCTTGGATGAGGAAGACATGCAACTGACTTGCAATAGGCATGTAACATGAGCAAGAAATAAACCATTATTGTGTCAGCTGCTGAGAGTCTGAGGATGTTGGTTACTGTAGTATGCTGAGCCTAAGCTAACAGATACATATTGTTCGGGAAATTCTGAAGCCTATGAATAGGTCCAGCAGAAGTCTATAATATTTGTATTGCACTCATCCTACGCATTTTGATAAGTATTGTCTCTTCTTACCCACCCAGGTATATATTTATTCAATCCATCATTCAACAAATATTTCTTGTGTCTTGAGTGCTTGCCATGTGCATTCCATACTGCTAGGATACCAGGGCAAAGTTTGAACACAAAGGTACAGTATCTGCCTTGGGGAGCACACAACCTAGAGGAGGAGATGGACATTAAGCAAACAGCCCTACAAATAAATACAAAATTACTAATTGTGAAACCACTATGGAGAAAAAAATAAAGGGCTCCATGAGAGATTGTAATAGGACACTGAAGTTAGATGGGGATGTCAGGAAGTTTGCACTGTGGATCAGAAGCAAATCCTGAAGCTGGCCTGAGAGGAGCACGAGTGTTCCAAGCAGGAAAAGCAGTATGTGCAGATGCTCTGTAGTGAGAGAGAATTGGATATTTGATGAACAGAAAGAAGGCCAATGTTGTCAGAGCATGGCGAGTAGTGCTGGTCGGGGGAGAAGCAAAGGAAAGTGGAAAGGTAGACGGGGCAAGGTCACAGAAGGCCCTGGGAGGACCACACGGCCCAGTGTGCCCCAAAGAGTCCCAGCAGTAATGCCCCATTTCTCTCTCAGTGTACCTCTGTTGAGATAGCAAAGTATGTGTCCACATTACTGATCAGACATTTAAAAGATTTTGAATTTTATGCTAAGAGCAATGGGAGGCCTTTGAGGGAGAGTGAGTGAAACAGATCTGTATTTTAAAAAGATAACTGGCTGCTCTGTGGAAGACAACAAGAGTGAACAAAACAAAGACCAATGTGGAGACTAAGGACATGGACCAGGAGAAAGAGTGTGGGGGAAACAGAGAGTAATGAACAGATAGGAGCTGTATTTTTATTTTTATTTATCTATTTTTTGAGATGGGGGTCTTGTTCTGTTATCCAGACTAAAGGGTAGTGGCATGATCATGACTCACTCTCACCCACACCTCCTGGGCTCCAATGATCCTCCCACCTCAGCCTCCCAGAGTAGCTGGGACTACGGGTGTGTGCCACCACTCTTGGCTACTTTTTTTATTTTTATTATTTGTAGATACGGGGTCTCATTATGTTGCACAGGGTGGTCTCAAACTCCTGGCCTCAAGCAATTCTCCTCCCATAGCCTCCCACAGTACTGAGATTACAGGTGTAAGT